CAGGTTTTTTGGGACAGTGTACATTCACTGCTCATTAATATTCACAACTCATGATGACAAGCTGACTTTTTCTTTGGGCACTCTTTCCTTTTCTGCTCATTTTCCTTTACAGTGCCAAAGATACAGATTCCTAACCAAGGCAGTGGATCAGAGCAGCTCCAGCCTTGTCACATCAACAGTGGGCGTACAGCTGAAGTGACAATTTTAGTTTAACTCATGAGCTAACAATTCCTCGTAGCTTTTAAGCTGGCTCAAAATATTTTCCAACCTTACTAACTAAGAAAAAACCCACACAATTCTACCCATAATCACATGTTGACGAAAATACATAAGTGTCATGAGCAAGAAAGTTTATCCTGAGATCTTCATCCTATTCTAAAGTGCACAAAAATGTCACCACACTATTAAGTCACACCTTTAAACTTCTGACTCAAATAGTGCTCATAAACTAGAAAGTAACTGGTGAAAAAGCAGAGAAAATTACTAACAACTGAATAGACTTATGTGCACAAAAATCCAACCTTCACTAAAGGCTTCCCAAGAAATTCCTTCAAAATCTCAGGAGATTTAGAAGGCATTAACAAGCCTTTGGTTTAAGGCCTCTGCACAGCATCTCAGTGGATGTGCAGTAACTGGGTGAGGAGTGAAGTCTTGCAAGATTCTCAGCTGAAGGCAATCGACTCAGCATTACCACTATTTAAGGAGATGGGAAGCTGACCTTCGCTCTCAGCTGGAACTGGGAGGAAGACAGAGTTCTTTGACACTGCCTGGAAAACTGTCAGATACAAAAGAGTTGCTGGGGAGTAACAATCAAGCTAGGTAAGGAATCAAAAGGCGAAACCCAAATTCTTATTACGTCCAACCCCAGCTTTAAATACACCAGCCAGAAAAAACATCCATCTCCTTTGTGTCTGTTCCTCTCACCCACGTTTCCTGCCTCTCCTACCTACCCAGTGTGAATCATATGCACGAGAGAGGACTCCAGTCCCACTTGGAGGCCCACAAGTGCCAACAACCACAAACAGGGGCTTCCAAAGGAGCAGCTGTGGGAACAGACTTCTTACCTCAACACACACAGCCAAATCTTAGTATCTTTTCTTCCCCTGGATGCAATGACACTGATCTATAATGAGGCCTTTTACATCCATTCCACAGCTTAGTGTGGTTAATTCTCAAACTTTCCCCTCTGATTTTGTGTCACTTCCACTACAATGATTTGACTCACAATGGCTGATACCCGAAAACACTGCTAAAACAGTGATCAAGCTAAAGCAGTGATCACTGCTAAAACAGTGCTAGAACTGATCCAAGCTACACAGAGCAACTTAAAAGTACAGTTCTAACATCAACAGATTTAACCTGACTGATCATATACATAGGAAATACATAAAAGTGATATTTTCCCTGAAACCAACACTTCAAAACATATGCTTTCTGTAAAGCTTTAACAGAACGCAAACTTTTTCTCGACACTCCATACTGAAAGAACACAGAGACCAACACCTTCCTCCTATGCGCAACAAACCGTAAAGGTTTCTTTAAAGATTTTTAAAGCCTTTTTAAAGAAGTCGAGGGTTCGTCACAGTAAATGAGCAGCGACCCAAGTCTGGCCAAGCCATAGGGAGCCGTGGTTTGCTCAGGGAGGGTCTGGCAGGCGATGGCTTTCCCGGCAGCACCTGCAGAGGAGAGCACGCTCCTGGGAAAAGGCGCAGCGCCGTTTTCTTCCGAAACAGCAACATTCCCATAAAAAAAAAAAAAAAAAAAATCCTGTCTTACGCTTTCTGGTGCGCTTTCGTCACCCCGCGAGCCCGCGTTACTCGGGGAACTACGACGAGAACTACTAACAGCACCAGAACCCTCAGTTTCCTGCGTCGCTTTTCTGACAGCGGATGGGATGCGGAGGGACAGCGGGAGGAGCGCTTCCACCTGGCCCGAACCACTGAAGCTTTTTTTTTCTTTAAAAAAGTGCTGTCTCGCCTCCAGCCGCACCATAACCCCTCTTTCCTTACTCCCTTCTCCGTCCCCAACGCCGGGGAGTGGCGGGAGCATGCGGCCCGGCCCACCCCGCGCTCCCGGCTCCCCACAGCGGTGCCCCCTCTCCCCACCGCGGTGCTCCCGGCTCTGCCGGCGC